CTGGATCCTGCAAGGACACACTGTTTTGGCCGAAGTTCAGCAAACTTTGAAAATCCAATTCTGAGATCGGGGTATTTTTTCTTGAAATGTTCAAATGCTTCTTTCAGATTACAGAGTATGAGATGCTTCTGTATATGTTTTTTCTCTCTGTCTACTTTGACAGAAACAAAGTCTTTCATTCCTGGCATTTGTCTGCTGATTGCTTCTGACAAATAGAAGTCTCTCACTTTTTGCTCTGTTTCCTTTGTTAGTACTTTTCCAGATTTTGGGTTTGGAATGGCTAGTATTCCCTGTTCCTTCACCAGTTTTTTTGCTTTTCTGGCCATATAATTTGATGCCCCAAATTCCTCTGAAATTTTGTGGATGCTCCAGCTCGTAGGTAACACAGTCAAAACTTGAACTTGTTCACTTGTCCTGGTCAGTGAGTGAAACTTTTCCTTCAACTGACTTATCATCTCACACTCATCATCTTGGAACTGTTTACCTGTTGCAGTTTCAAGCCTGTTCTTGATTGTTGACTCGATTTTCTTCACTTTACTTTCAATATAGCTTCCTGTAGATTTTTTCTTGCTCTTGATCGGGGATTCACCAATTATCGTCAAAGACTGATTGACAATGTCTACATCCACATTGGGTGAAACAAAAACATCTCTATGTGTCGGTGATCTTGAAGGTCCTGGTACTTCAGAATCAGTGGTCTCACCAGAACTTCCCGATGTCAAAATTGTTAATTCTGGTGGCAACTTTGACAACTTTTTACGACATCCAGTGCAGAGAGTTTGTGCACGAGAAAGATTGAGGCTGGGGTGCTCAACTACAAACCTCTCAGACACCTCTCTCAAACCAACAGTTTTTCTCTTGCTGTGACATTTAAATGGGTCACAACATGACGTATTCTTCAAACTTTTCAATCGAGGGTGTTGCTCTTTCGCAGTAGACATGCTGTACTTCTGAGCACTCTAACCACTATACTGACTAACTGATGGACCAAACTGTGCACAAATGCACAGGTGTTAAGATTTCTCCATATACCAAACATCCATTGTTTTCTTTTCCAAGGCCATAAAGAGACAATCACTGGTCCAAATGAAAGACTTAATCAGTGTTGTATTGCTCTGGTCAGTGTCAATAGTTAAAGCTTTGTGACACCAAGTAATACACTTTGGGGTTTTTGTTGAATTTGATTGAAACTTGCCCATCTAATCTTAAACTGCATAAAAGCACACAATACTGTCTAGAGGTAGGGAGATGCAGCCTATTTACATGAGTTGAGACTATACGGTTGTAAAGGGCAAACATGATGCACAGGTAAAATGTGCACATGTACATGTACACAGTACAAGTATACCTGTACATTTACATGTTATGTACATGTACATGTACATGTATATTTAATATTATGCATACTTTTTCATGGACAGGCTTTCTTCAAAAAATCATAACTTAAAAACTTTCAGAGCGCCCATCCCAATTTTTTTTTAAGATTGTTGCTGACATCATAAACTATCATTTGAAAAAAAATTACAAAATTTGAAGCATATTGTTTTTCGTAATTCGAGGTCAAAGGTCATTTTGTTACGCATTTTCTCTGCACTTCATGCTACGATTTTGGTTTTATTTTATGAAATGGAGGCCATTCAAAGAACTTTAATATGATGTACAACTTGGCTTTGTAGGCGCAATAGTTTTTGAGATACAAGTATTTAAAGTTCGGAGGTCATGCTAATTAGTCAAAAGTTCGTTGACCCGTATCTCAAAAACTAACGAGTCAATTTACAAAAAAAAATCAGTTCTGGGGGTTTCTCATATAGGCCAATCATCACACCAAATATTGTTTCAATCTGTGAGGGTCGGGTCCAAAAGCGTGCTGATTTGACACGGAATGACCCTAAGAGGATGTTGTTTCGACACCCCTGAAGTGCGGGACCTCTTCAACACCTTGAACGAGTGGGCAATTTCATATATGTTTCAATTGTTCCTAAGGTTACTTTTTGTAAGCAGTTGTTACTTCTAGATGTACATGTAGAAAACATCATATGGAAGGATTTTGAACTAAGACCGTCGGAGTCCTTTGTGCCTCCGGACGTCTTTGTTCCAGACATCAAATTACTCTTTTCCGTTCCAGACGAAGAATTTTGGTGCCGATCATGACTGTGACGTCGTACATAAGCTGCACAGGGACGCTTTGAATCGATCACTGGCAGCTTCATGTACTGTACATGTATTTGTCGAGACAGCCCTGCCATAACGGCAGGCTTCTCGCGACACGTATTCGTCATGACAACCCTGCCATACCAGCAGGCTTCTCATGACACATTTTTGTCGTGACAACCGTGCCATACCAGCAGGCTTCTCACGACGTGTTTTGTCATGACGAACCTGCAATACCGGCAGGCCTTTCACGACATATTTTTATCAGGACGACCTCACCATACCTACAGGCTTTTCATGACAAGATTGCCTGAAGGTTGGTTATGGTCATCCATGGAACCACGGGCGTATCAACGGCAGAGGCTGTGTGATCGGCCCGTGCGCACAATATTAGGCAGAGATTGGGAGAACAGTGTTGATGGCAACTGACTGAACCCCAACATGTTCTCGAGACATTTTGAGACCGGAGACCTCCCCAGAATTGATGTCTCCTGACTCTGAATCTTTCTTGAATTCAGTACATATATATAATAGTGTCTATGTGTCATATGTCATAATCATTACACGCAATGCCCCATATCGGGGACCACGTCTCGGTCAGCATGTTAATGGTTAATGTCCTTATCAAGCAGACCTTTTGGGCTGCCTTGTCCACATGTGGAGCGACGGGCCCATCCGGGGTTTACGTGTCGTGGTACGTATCCTGTGAAAGCACAATAGCATCTCGCATGACCCACCGCCTTGACGGTGCTAGTCTATGCAAAAGTAGTAATTGCTCTACAGGTAAGTAGAGTGAAGTAGACTCCCCCCCACAGAAGTGTGGTTGGGGTCTACGAGCGAATACTTACCTGTAGAGCATCCTCCTACCCCACTCTTCTTGATGCAATGAGTACATTTTGTATTCCGACATAACGCTCGAGAAAAGAGGATGTTTACAAGGCACGCACGCCACGGGGCATTATGGGTAGGACACCAGAGGGCGCTATTGTATAAAACTCTTAGCGGAAAATACCTGCCGGTCTAGGGAATATGCAAAAGTAGTAATTGCTCTACAGGTAAGTATTCGCTCGTAGACCCCAACCACACTTCTGTGGGGGGGGGGGGGAATTTGTTGAATGCCGACTTACACAAAGGATTTTGTAATGCTTTTTATGGAAAGGGGACCGAGAGTAACACGACAACTTGAGCGAAATGGTGACTTATAAAAGCCAACTTAGAAATAAAAAATTCAATGGAAATGCATTAAGGACAATGGGACTTTAGTCAGACGGCCGACTTGAGATATTTGACAAGATGTACGATGTCGGTTTAGCCGGAGTTTACTGTACAGTAAACTCCGGCCAAGTCGGCACTCTCGGGACCTAGAAATTTGTGACGACTTATGCGAATGCCAACATCTGCTGTCAGTTGTCATTTTGCCGTCTTACATGAATGGCCATTTTGCACATGTTTCATTGATTGGCTTTGATTTACCCTGGTTTATCTCCTCAATACTTGAGTTGATTCCAGCAAATTAATCCTCAAATTTTATCATCACGCTTGGGGTAACCGGAGGGGGAAAACCACCTAAAAAGCCAAGTCTGGCACAACAAAAAATTATATAGTGCTAATTATAACACACCTCTTGCTTGTTCTTTGTCCTGGTTGGCTGAAACATGGTCACATGTGATTCACTAATATAGGCTAGTGTATGAAACTTGCGTCATCACGCGCGCATATTTTCCAGAGTATAGTGCCCGATCGGGCACTATACTCAAATTGTTTTGACTGGTAACAGCGCCCTCTGACAAAACTCAAACTCAAAAATTTAATATAGGGAAACTAAAATGCGTTCCATTAATTGTTGAATTGCTTACAGTTTAATTGCTTGAATTAATTGTTGAATTAAAACAGTTCAATAATAAACCCTGAACGGTTTCTTTTTTTTACTTTATATTTTGGACAGAGTTGAGTTATGAAACACATATGGACTGGCATGATTCGGTCCCTAGTGCACGTCTATGCCCCCTCGGGCCTGTGAGTGACCAGAAGAGGGTCCTATTTCCCTGGGCCTTTGGCCTCCAGAAATAGGATCCTCTTCTGGTCACTCACAGTCCCTCGGGGCACATAGATGTGCACTAGTGACCTCATTGCCAGTCTATATGTGTAAACTAGTGACTTAGAGTTGCCCTGGATCTACACTTACTTAAGTAAAAAACTTAGAATGTAACAAGCGTGAGCAATGTGTCATGAATATCAATTAGTTTCCAACTAGGCTTAGTAAGCAACTACATGCCTATTTACAGGCATGCAACTTTTCCTCGGATCAGCTGATTTCCTCTTTGTTACTTCCCATGTGTGCCATTGAAAATAGAATAAAACACTGTACAGAGCCTGGGTAAAATTTGAATTTCCTCTTTTTTGTGATTTCCCAGTTGCATGCCTGCTATTTAGTAAGCAACTAGGCTTAGTAAGGTTTCATGAATATGGCCCCTGGTCATCAATTGGTATACCACTATGTTAACCTGTGTAAAAATACAGTTTGCGATAAAAGGAAAACACAGTTCGTAGGTGAACTCTTTAATCGGTCGTGATGGGATTGAGTCCGGACCACCACTCTTGCCTTGTTCATGTAGGCATGCAACTGTACATTTACCCCAAAAAAGGAAACTCCAAAATTCAAAAGACTTTGTATGGTGTTTTTCTATTTTGAATAACAGAAATGGGAATAAAAAAAAGAGGAAATCAGCTAATCCGAGGAAAAGTTGCATGTCTGTTTATGTTGTTGCGTAGCTTTCCAAGTTTCAGGGTAATGCATTTGTTACATTTTGCATTTCTGGTTTCTCTTTGTTTTTCTTCTTATTATTCAGGAAAACAGCCAAGGTTCATCTGTTCGTCATGGTAGCAGTCATCCAAAACCAAAAATAGGACAGAAACATGAGCTTAATAGTCTGGTGTAAGTCCAACAACGTGATGGGAAACAAACCCAATTTGTTTTTAAAACAGACAAAATAAGATTGGATATTTTTAATGTAAACTACATGTACATTGTAAATTTTCTACCAATTAATTGTTCCTTTTAATGTTCTTAACTTTGAACATTACTTTTCATTTTCACTGAAAGCCCACTTTATCATTTGATATCTTTGAAGGGTGGACATTTCTGTAAGTTGGCCACCCTTTGATACTCAAAACGTGTTTATTTACTTAAAACTTTATCATATCCCTAAACACAACGTTTAAAGGGAATATGCAACATTTGCTTTTGCTGTAATTTTCAGAAAATGATGGATTTGGGAGATTAGTATTTTACAGCAAATATTGTTACCTTGACTTGTTTGACTTTTGAATTCATTGATGCCGGGACAAAAACCAAGAAAAACAATCCTGTTCTTGTAGTCTGGTTCCCTGACCCCACCTAAGATGAAACGGAACAATGTATAGATGTCCGGAAAATTGTAAGGTCAGGAAATCAGTCTAACTGGCTTGTGCCCACCCGTTCAACAGGTGTGTGATTGATTGCAAAGAAAATGCAGACTTGCAACTAAATACATGTATGATAACTTGGGAGCAGTATTTGAAGAAAAAAAATAAGTTTTTCCAACGCCGGTCAGCAGACCAGCGTTTGAAATTGATACAAAAATACCACTTTTCTTGAAAGTGTCGGCACACCAGGTTTCATGATTTTACAGGATAACAGTACTGTCATTCAGTAACAGTCCAGTAAAAAGTTATTTCATGATAATATGAAAGTTTTGCTGTTTCATGTTTGCAAATGTATGGAATATAAATGTATGGAACATACTTTAAAAGCAAGTTGTCTTTTTTTAAGATTTAATGTCAAGTTTTTTAACAAAATACAGTAATACTGTGCCTCATGTGTCCTGTAAGGATCAAATAGGTCAGGTTTAGAGGCATGATAAAGGTAAACATGATGAACATTAATATTTTCAAACCCCTGATGGTCAGGGGTTCTAATCCAGCTGCTGGTCATATATCGCATCCTTAGGCAAGCCGCTTTACCCCTAGTGCCTTTCTCCACTCAGGAGTATAGATCTCTCTCATTCTGATCTCTCAAATAGGATCTCCATAGGAAAATAAGCTGCGTATCCAACGCCATGAAGTGCGTGTGGGTGCAGTGTGCAAAATGTTCCAAACAAAAAAATGACGCCCAAAATGCTGATGCGTTTGAGAGAGACCTATAAATAGGGACTGGCATTAGCTGGGGAGTAACCTGTAATGTCCAGGGGGAGTAGAAATCTTGTCAGTCATTTTATGCTGTAACCGGAGATGTACGCTGGCATGATGGGCCACATTGGCTCTTTTTATATCTCAAACAATTCCACAACTAATAGGGCTCAGATCCTTTTTTCTTCAAATATTATTAAACCTATAGATGCATAATTTTTTTACATTTGATTTAGATTATATGTATGACAGAAGCTGATTTAGAATCCATTTGCATGTGTCAGTTATTAAAGTGTTCCAGACTACATCTGGCTGTAAATATAAGGCTTATCAGAGGATACACAGTTGGGTAGTCAGGTTTTTAAGATTTTTGTATCACATTGTAACCAATAGAACTAAATGTGGCAGATATACTGGCCATTAAGTACACATTGCAGGACAGGTATATAGTTTTGTAAGAATGTGGAGGAAATGCAAACTTTCTGACTTCAACATCATGTTTTGTGTCTGTTTATTTTTGGATCAGCCCAATACTCATCTAGATTCTGCATCACCATTACAACATAACTGACAGACTAAAATATCTTAAATCATCATTTGACCTTGTCCCCATGGTGTGGAGCAAAATGCTCCCACTTACAAATCTTGTACATAAATGCCAATTAAGTACAAAATAGCATGGTGCTTTGGCCATGTTTTAAATCAGCGTATGTTTTTTGTATGCAGTGTCCAGGGTAAAGATGAATTCAATTCGTCATGGTGTGAGATTTGAAAACACTGGAAGTTGTTGAGTGGTCGGGCACAACCCGACCACTTTGTTTTTCCTTTCTTTTCTTTTTTTGGCTTTTCTGTAGTGAAAAGCCTTTCTTTTTGTTCTGATTTTTGGCTTTTCCGCATAGTTGCGGAAAAGCCTTCCTTTCTGTTCTCATTTTTTTCCTTCTTCTTCTTCCCTCTTCTTTTTGTTCTATCCCAAATCCCAAAGACTTTGTGCATGATTTTTGTGACATCCACTTTTGGCATTAATCTTTGTCAGAATACATCATTTAAATTCAGCATAGGCATAGTGCCTATAGCAAAGTTGTGTCCCATTGAGTGACATCATCATGACATCACCGTAAGTCACATGACGCCATCACAAATGTGCATATTGTAAAGTCCTTTATCTACAAAACTGTAAGTAAGTAAGGTTGAAACTCGGTATGTAAGTAAACTGGGGTGTATTATAGGTAAAAATTGAGGTGACGTCGTCATGACATCATCAAAAATGTGAATTTTTAAAACACATATAAGGGTAGGTCCAATTGTCTTGAAACTTGGTGGGTAGGTAGGTACTGTTACTAATATGCAAATCCTGAAGTGACGTCGCATTGACGTCATCGGTAGAATTGTATTCTACTTTCAAATAATTACACTTTTGTTCATCTGTTTGACTTCAAATTTGGTGCAAACCAAGACTACAATAAAAAGTGTACATTTTTCAAGTCTCGTATGGAGAAAACTGTCGGTCCCATTGGGTAAATATTCGGTATAGGAACGTAGCCTTGCACATGTTGTAGAGGCAAATTTACTGAGAGGCATGATAAACACCATCAATGTACTTTTATATCAGATTTAAATTCAAACGAAGTCCGTATTTGTAACCAGTCGATATCGATCTTTTTGATGAACACTGCTGCTTGTTCAAAGCAAGCAGCGCCCTCTTGTGGCAAGAAAAATTTGTTTTGCCTTTCATCGGTCAGAAATCCGTGTTTCTTCTCATTTCTTTTACAACAGGGGATTTGTGAAATAATGGAAACATCATCTGTCAGACCTGAACACAATAAAGGAACACAGATCTGATTTAGCTTTTTACGGGAATTGATAGAATAATTCAGGGTCTTAATTTTTGATAAAATGTGCACAATCAGTTGAAACCGGAAGTGCCTTAATTTTTGCAATCGGTAAAAAAATGTGAACTTGCTTTCAACGATGTGAGTCTGTGGAAAGAGTGGCGAGTGACATCATGCATTATTTGAGGGCACTCAATTGGCAGGTGATCACGGGTCTTGAGATGTGGTCATAAAAAGTGCATATTTTAAATAATATATCTAAAGAACTGTAGGACTGATTCGATTGAAACGTTGTTCATGCATAGTCAGGGAAGTGTTATTGATAAAAAAAAAAGCATAATGCAGAAAGCCCTGTGTTCTGTTGCAAACAGACAGAGCTCTTGTTGGCTTTTTCGCAAATTTGCGAAAAAGCCTTTGTTTTTGAACCTCTAGTTTTTTACCTCTCAGCCGAGAGGCTCGAGGGGTATTGTCATCGCCTACTTGGGCAGCTTGGTTTCCGGATGATAACTTGAGTTAAAAATGTTGTTTGGGATTGTAACTTCGGTAGGGGATTGCCATTAAGAGTAGGCAAGTTGGGATTTGTTTTGGGGTCAAAAGGTCAAAGGTCAAGGTCACTGTGGTGAGTTAAAGGTAAATGGTTTCCGGATGATAACTTGAGTAAGAAATGAGATTTTGGTGTCTAACTTTGGTAAAGGGTTGCCCTTGGGAGTAGGCAAGTTGGGATTGGTTTTGGGGTCAAAAAGTCAAAGGTCAAGGTCAACGTGGTGAGTTAAAGGTAAATGGTTTCCGGATGATAACTTGAGTTAGAAATGAGATTTTGGAGTCTAACTTCGGTAGGGGGTTGCCCATTGGTACAGGCATGTTGGGATTGGTTCTGGGGTCAACAGTCAAGTTCACCATGTTGAGTTAAAGGTTAATAGTTTCGGCATGATAACTTCACTCTGGCTGAGGGGTTTCAATAGCAACGCTGTTATTTTCTACTTCTTCCCTCTTCTTTTTGTTCTATCCCAAATCCCCTAGACTTTGTACATGATTTTTGTAACATCCACTTTTGGCATTAATCTTTGTTATACATATTTAAAGTCAGCATATGCACAGTCCCCATTGCAAACTTTTGTCCCACACAGTTATGTCATGACGTCATCTTAAAAGTGCATACATAAAAGTATTTAGAGAACAGTTTTAAGCCAAGTAAAAAACACATGTTCAGCGTCCTGCCTTTTTGAAAAAAAGGAAGGAGGGGCCCCCCTTTTTTCCCTCAAATATGGCCGCCCGACCGGGCTATTTTTCAAGAAGGCCGCCAGCTTTTTTTTAAATGGCTGCCACTTTGACTCAGAAAATGACATACCAGCTTTATATGGGCTACAACAAAGAGGGCCAACAAAGAGGGCCAACAAAGAGGGCCAACAAAGAGGGCCAAAATGAGGTGGCTTCCACAAAGGAAGCGGGCAGGGACGCTAAGGCCCCCCCAAAAAGGTTCTGGCCTGCGCGTGCGTCGCCGTAGCCATGCACGTCGGCAACATTTAAAATTTTTTTTTTTCCAATGTAAGACGTCTCAATTAAACCGCCAAACTCACTGGTTTGACTGGAATCCTGCTGTTGCACAATTTTAACGTGGTTTTAGATGGGGCTACGATCGAGTATAAGCTTTATGTGGCCTCTCCGGGCTCCCATATATTTTGCACTAAATTTAGTCAGGCACCATTTGCAGTCATCAGCCGACATTTGAAGGAAAAAAAAGTCAAAAAATAAATAAATAAATGCCGGGTCACTGCACCACTTTTCAGTTTTGGGGCAAGCTCCATACCAAAAACCGAAGACTTTTTTTTTTTTTTTGGCCCTAAACATGTTTTTTTTTTTTCTTTGCCTCAAGTCCGATTGGGTGGAAGTTTGGTATGTTAGTAGACCGAGATGTGATATAGATTAATAATGAAGTGACATCAACATGACCTCATCATGCATCAAATTACAAGCAATTTAATATTAACAGATTTAATCTGTTAAAATCAATTTAAAATCAATTTAAAATCAACTGTGAGAGATCTCAACTTGATTTTGCGTGAATAATCCAGGATCTTTATTTTTCTCCCGAATGCCAAATCACGTTACCCTTCCTTCTGGTCCAAACCGGAAGTGTCTTATAATTTGAAAGTGGAAAAAGATGTGAACTTGCTTTCAATGATATTAGTCTCTGCCTAGGTTGTACTTTGCTAACAAATTACCGGTAGCATCAAAACATGTTAGAGCGCCCTCTAGCCACAGGTTGAAAAATGTTCAAAATGGATAATCAGTAGATCACTTGTTATAATTGATGGTTATAATCAGCTTTATGTTAAGAAAAAGTTGCCGATGCAAATTGATGGCGTCACCAGATTGGAAGTTACAATAAAAAGACCTTTAAACTTAAAAAAAAATTGCTGAAAAATCAACCGTGACAGATGTTTACCAAAGATTTCTACATTAAGTCTTTGTAAAGCAATCTAAAATCAACTGCGAGTCATCTGATTTTGCTTTTTATGGGAATTGATAGAATAATGAAGGGTCTTCATTTTCGATATAACATTCAAAATCGTGTGGTCTTTATTTCTGCATGAAACCGGAAGTGTCTTATAATTTGCAAGTAATAAAAGATCTGAACTTGCTTTCAACAATGTCAGTCTGTGGCCTGGTGGGCTTTTCGAAAATCTGCTCTGTGACGTTATGTAATATTCGAGTGCACTCTGGCAGAATGTGATCACGGGTCCCGAGATGCAGTCTGGCTTCCAGACGCACAATTACAAAATTACAACGACGTCTGCAAATGGTGCCCCACTAAATGTAGAGCAAAATGTATGGGAGCCCAGAGAGGTCACATAAAGCTTATACTCGATCGTAACCCCATCTAAAAACGTGTTAAAATTGTGCAGCAGCAGGAATTTTTTTTTAAAGTTTGCCGATACGCATATGCATATTACACTCAAGTTCACAGTAGACATATTACAGGTACACACGCGCAGTAGGCCTACTGCACTTCATTTATGATGTATTGCAATTGTCTTGTGCACTTGGCCGACTTTCCCATTTCAAATTGTTCAGGCCCTGGAGCAAAAACCCACTGGCATCCCTTGGTTCAACGCAATGTGTAGACACATTCTTGCTATGAAGATCAACTGATTGATAAGTACACATTCTCAGTGTATCAATGCTTTAAGATGCTACTTCAGGAGAATAAATTATATTAGTACAAAACAAACTGAAGATCTTTTTCCTTTAAAACTGAAACTATTATTCCTGTCAAATTGTAAACATACAGTATATTACTACAGTTATAAACATAAAACATATGACTTGACATAAATGTAGAACATCTTTGTCAGTGTCTCAAAATAAAACAAAAACATTAGTAAGTTTGTACCACATACAGAAAGCAGCACCTTTTGCAAACTATTCCAGTCACCAGTTGCCTGTCTAAGAATAACACGTAATGAGGAACTTGGTTCAGTTGTCTAACAGCAGCTTTCAGGTGCAAACACCAACTGTATACTGGTTGAGTTTTAAAGCCCATAGTTTTATATTTTGTGATGTGTACACAGGTTGGTCTTCTATTACCAATGTCAATTGCATGTGTAGGGATCAACCCTCAACTTTACTCCATGGATACCTGAAAAAAATCCGCTGTTTTGG